ACAACGATACCAAACCATTTGTAGATAGGTACAAATAACTGGTAGCTTACAGACTTACTTTTTAGCATATAGAATGTACTAAACACCGTCAAAAATGTGGCTTCTGAGGTTCCAAATTGACCGTTTCTGGGCTCTGGAGTGGCTCGATCTTATAAAATGAGATTGTACTTACAATCCGTAAACTCGTCCTGGTGCATCTGTATGTAGTTTTCCTCCCAAATACATACGCATACCTAGTAACCGAAAGGGCAGACTGGTTGGCAAGGTCGTGGCTGTATGTTATACATGCATGCTACTTACAAATCAGGAGCTCGTCGGATCGGTTGGATGACCTCACCTTCCGAAACTGCTGAATTACTACCAAAGCTTTAACCAGCGACGTCACGATTTTATATGCCAAACACGTGGAATGGTATGGTAGGGGTGCTCCCGTTTTCGCGCTACCTAAAAATGCGCTTCTTAGATGATGAGGTGCCGTTGTCTTTGGATAGGACCAGCCTTGGTCCAACCATCACCAGTCCATCTGTCCATCTGCCAGGAGGCCCACCAAGCAGATACCCTCTGCTCTTGGTGGCATTCATGGGGAGCAACCACAGCAGGCACCTGCAACGAAGGCAGCTTTGGTGTCTCCTGCCCAGAAGCTGACTGCCATGGTGTCTCCTTCCCAGGAGCTGACTGCCACGGTGCTTCCTACCCCGAAGCTGGCTGCCATGGCCACAGTGCATGGCAATGAACCAATCCCGGTGACACCGTTGGATTTTCCCTAGGGCGATCGATTCACGTTCCTGATCGATCGAGCCCAAAGCCTATAGTCAAGGAACATGTCCGTGGGGCAAGAAGGCCGCTCCACTGAGAGCTTGCCGCCGCTGAATTCGGCCTGTGGCAAAGCCACAATATTTGTCTACATATGAAGAAAACAAACAACAGCTATGATAGCAACCAGCACCGCCGACACCTACCGAGTCTGGCCATGCTGATGAAGCACGCAATCCATTTGCGCCTACCTTTGGTCCAGCAACCGACCAACCATGCAAGTCCCTCCACTTGTGAGATCTCCAATCTCACATTGTGTCCCACTAGCAGCCGATGCTGAGTGGTCCATGAATGTTTCGTTCATGGGGAGAGTTTGTAGATAGTTAGTTAGTAACTAGCGTACATCGTGGCAGACCCATGAGAGCGAATCCATACGCACTCGTGGGGAGCGATAAAGTCTAGGAGCGAGAGCTCTGGATTCCGTCAGAGATAGCTCCAACAGCTATGCTGGCCTACAGCTCCAGCACCCACAGCTGGCTTATCTCCAGCCAAAGCAGCAAGAAAGGATCGTCCTTTCCATCATAGTTACTACGGATTCGAGAAGAATTGTCCCGGTGTCACAGAAACTTCAGTGCCATAGCACAGAAATTGGTCTCACGTATACCTCTGTAGAAATCCTACCAGACCGATTTCAGTTTCTGTGTCATGAAAATCGTGAGCTCGTGATTCAACTTGAATCCTGCAAAATTCGTGCTTTTTCTCTAGTTTACTTAGAGGTCATGCCCCGATTTTTGTGTCATGAAAATGTTTGCCCATAAGCACAAAACCGGTGTTCTCATCCTGGAGTCAATTCTTTTCGAATCTGTAGTAAGAAAATAGTACGAAAGATTGAGACCGATCCTGATTAGCTTGTAGCCCCTTTGATACCGCAGCAGTTGATACCTATCCTGTTGAGGCCGGGCAGAAGCAGTAGGAGGTAGCAGATAGTACTGTTCCCAGACTGCCACTGCACGATTGAATAACGAAGGCCCCCAGCTCCTGAGGAGAGCTGGCCCAAAGGGCCCAGCAGAGAGCTCTGCTGGCCCTCCTGTCTGATTGACAGGACCAAGTCCTTGGTTTGGTGCCTACTGGAGGTGTTGGAACACTCCTGAGGCACTCCAAGGCTCCCTGAACTGCCTGACTACCGCTGTACCTGAGGAAGGGTTTCAGCGAGACCCAGTCCACTACTTGAGTATTGGAACTGAACCTTCTAGAAACTTATTGTCGGGTGCACTGCCCTAGGATCAAGTTGAATGCTTTGCCTCTATTTTCTTGTAGTTTTGCCAACCTAGTAAGGTGGGTCTTCATGAGTCCTCCATATTCTGTTTTCTGGAGTCCCCGGAGTTCCTCTTCCGGTGGATCTGCTAGGGCTGCAGTAAGGTTGGCTATTTCATTGACGATTTTTGCTTTTTCTACCGTTAGGGCTCGTAAGCTACCTAGTGTTGGGTCATCAGTGACCTCGGCTATCTCTTCTTCCATTAGCTCTAGGCTTTCCTCGGTCGCCGTTAGTAGACGAGTGTTGTTCCGTTGGCGTCGTTCCGCCGCCATGTCAAGCCTGTTCTGGGTCTCCTCTGAGTACACCGGTGCTACCAACACTGTATGTTTCAGGTTCCGTAGCTCATTGCTAATGTCGTCACCCATCTGTTGTCCAACGTAGATGGTGATCTTCTCCCATGTTCGTATCAACTGGTCTGCCGTTCCAGATCCAGTTGTACCAAAATTGAACACATGTTGTTCTAGGGCTTTGCAGGAACCTTTTTGTTGGTTCGAAGACGATGGGCTGGATCTTCCATGCCCTCCTCATCCTCTGCCGCCTCGGCCACTCCTTCCTTTACCTCTACCGCTCATTTTCTTTGCTACGGTAGGTGGACTATTTCAATTCTTTCTTTCTTATTTGGCTAGCTCTTTATTTTAAGTTCTCGTCCGACTACTTATTCGTCTTCTGGCTATGGGGCGATAAACTTCAAATTATACTCCTGGCTAGGGAGTGTTAAGTCTATAACTAAAGATCTTGTAAGGTGGGCCCGATTGCTTCACACACTGTGCGGTCGTGGCCTTTCCAAACCCGTTTCTTTGTTGAGTGACTCCTCAGTTGGGTGCCCGTCCTTGGCCCCTGCGCTGGCTCTATGGCTTTCGCGCTTGTTGTTGGCTTTCCTCGCCAAGCAACCTTGCCGGTAATCCTTGTGGATTCTACCGACGAAACTCTTGCTCTCTACCGGCACGACGATCCTTCGTCGGCCGATCTTGTTCTCGCGTCGTCGCTCGTTGCGTCGTCGCGTTGCTGCCGTCGAAACTCTTTGTCGGCTTGGTCTCGCGTCGTCGCGGTTCTGTCCTCGGATCCTCTTGCGTCGTCGCGGTCTTGATCCGGGCTCGGATGCCTTCAGTTCTGAAGGGCTTCTCTTGTTGCTGTCGATGCTTCGACAGGCTTCTCCTGTTGCTGTCGCCTTCGACAGTCTCCTGGTCTGTATCGTATCGGTCTTCCTTGCAACGGTAGCGTCGTCCTCGACGGTCTTCTACTCGTCGCGCCGTCGCGATCCGTCCTCGGATCCTCTTGCGTCGTCGCGTTCCCGTTGCTTCGGTAGACTCCTCTTCTTTCGATACGACGGTCGCGTCGTTCGAATGCTTCGATACACACCACTGCTATTGTCGATAGCAGTACCTTTTTCAGTAGTATGTTAGCTGCTCTAAGCTCTCTTCTAGTTGTTACTGTTGCTATTGAGATACTACTGAAAAAGTGGGTGGGCTCTGTATTTCTACTGTGAAATTCTAGTACAGAGGTACAGGGGTTGAATCCCTAATCGCGAATCCCCAACACCCTTGATCCCCCCACCACTGCCTCTACTGGCTATAGCGTGACTTCTCCAGTTTTCCCTGAAAGAATCCCTAAAAGCCTTTGGCTTTGATCCCATCTTCTCCTGCAGGTAGTAGTGGTATACCTGCACCAGACTTGGCCACAGCCTTTGATCAAGTGGCAACAACAACTCAACAACTTGATATAAACCTTGATTACCAGTGCCTCAGTGCATTGGCCCTTGAATAAACCCTTCTACATCAATCCTCTCGCCACCTCACAAGCAACCTCCATTGCTTGAGTTGAAGCAACGACACTACAGTCAACACCCCAGGATACACACCTCTTCCACCAACCCACCTACCACCCACCATGACTTCCCCATGTCTACCCACAACTTCACTCAAACCCAAGGTCCTTCCAGACATCCCCCCACTCCCACACTTCACCCAACCAACCACATCCACCATCCTCCAAAGAATACCCAACACCACTCCCCAGATGATCAGCCAACAGCTCCTAGAGCATGCAGCCATCTTGAGGATCACACCCTTCCGAATCACACCCTGCCCTATCAGGGAGGATGCCTTTGTTCTCACCCTTGAACAGAGGCACGCCTCTATTCTACACCACACCATCAACCATGCTACCTCCCAACTCCTCCAACAACACTCCAACACCACCAGGATCTCCCCTCCTGCCCCTGGCACCAGTCCACTTCCAGTGCCCCCTTATGCTCCTTCCATTGACTCAACAACCCCTCGAACAGCCCACAACACTCCAGCAGCCACCGTGCCTCCCTCCTGGGAACCACAGACTGCCAGTGTGTCACTTGACCCCATCCTTTGGCTACTTGTTGGTTTCTACCTAACACTTTTTGTCCACTGGATGGGTTACACCCTGCTCTGGTCCAGCCTGAGGAGTACCACCTCCTACGGGCTCTGCTGGCATCTTGCCTTGCATGCCAAGGCAATAGCCACAGCTTGGGACCTGATCACCCAGACACACTTACTGGCGAGCACTCTTTGGTCTGGCAATCTATCTGGTCCTCACGGCCCCTTTGGTGACAATGGTTTCAATACCGACAAAATCTGTGTGTAAGCCCCTGTAACCCAGGTTTTGTGCTGCAGGTTCTCTATCAATGTGCTCACCCCCCTACCCAGGGCATCTGTCTACTTGGTGCTGGCTCTACGTTGGGCCAGTGGATGAGGTCATGTTGATTGGGCAAACAAAGTAGATGACGACTCAGCTAGGTGGGGGTCTCCCCCATCCGTGGCCAATAGCTTGTTAAGCTAATGAGTAATTTACACGCCTTAAGGCCCATGAGAATAGAAAGAAGTTACCTAAGTATGAGGAAACAAAATGCAAACAAAAGGCTAAGAATAGTGGTGGTGGATCTGGTCGCCGTCGGGATAAGATGATCCAACAGATCAGACGTCTTCAAATGAGTACTCACATCGTCATTCCCAAAGGACCATTCTATCGGGCGGTTAAAGATGTAGCACAAGGTTTCCCGACCAAAGACAAAACCAACTATCGTTGGCAGAAGCAAGCAGTGGAAGCACTCCAGGAAGCAACTGAGCAATATCTCACAGAGATCTTTCAAGAATCAGTGCATTGTATGCATCATGCCAAAAGAGTCACCTTGATGAATAAAAACATGCGTTTGTCCATGTTTCTAACCAAGAAGTTTCAAGGGAAGGGTGGAGATGGAGATCTCAACAATAATATGGCTAACCGAACCCCCAAGAAAAATAACGAGGAGACAAAGGAGGACAACTAGGAGTGCAAGACCAACAAGTAGCCTCCATCGTTCCTTTCAGTTTAAACCGATACTAGATATCTATTTATGTGTACAAGCTGGATTCCCAATAGAGTCCCAAGTACAGTTATCCTAAGCTAATTCCAGTTGACTCTCTGGTTCAAGATCTGGTGGAGCCGGAACAATGATCTCGTCTAGTGGAAGTTATTCTTGTAGGGTAGGGGCCCGCATGTCAAAGTACTGGTTTCGACTTTCATTAAAGCAAGTGTAACAGTTGGACATGAACAAACAGGCAAAGAATAGCTTTCGGACATACTCACCGTTGAAGAACAGGTTGTGCATCCAACTAACTCGAAGGATTTGGTACAGACCAAAGACTTGGCTGAATTTGTGTTCGATGTCTTCACGGAGAGAGGACATCCTTGTATTCACAATAGCTTGGGCCCAGTTTGGAGATCGGTAGGGACCTATTATGGTAGCCAAGGTGGCAAAGATCCCATCACCAAAGAGTGTTGGACGCACAAGGAATCCATCAGATTGGTAGAGAGGTTGTAGGATGGAATAAAGGTAGTCGTTGAGTCCACTCATGTTCTGCATACCATTGTCGTTGTGACGGATAGACCCAATGAAGATACTACCAATCATGCCATTGGGTAGATGAACGACCTGAGCTTTGAGTCCATGACCACGAAAGTACCGATTGTAGAAAGCTCTTTGGGTATCTACATGCTCTGCAGTCTGAGGATTCCCAGAACGTGGTCTATTAGTTTGGAAGTCAGTGCAATACACGGCTCTTAGCCTTATTCGCGACTCGATCCTAGATAGGGTTTGAGTTCGACTCGTGACGTAGTCCTTCGCGAATAGTCATTGAGACAGGGTTCTCATGACCGCTAGTCATACTAGGTTGTCGATGAAACATCGCTCTAGATATTTAGCCGGCGTGGAAAGCTTCCACGCTACTAGACAGCTACTAGCTGAAGTTTCCACGTGTTCCGGAAATGGACCGTGGAGTACGTAGAGTTATTGCCATAACCTACGATATCACACTTCGAGGCCTCCCGCGGGAGACCAACTTCAACGAGCTTCACAACGATCTCTCTCATGGATTAGTTTTCGTAGCTTTCTATCTCGTCTCATCCTTTCATTCTCTCAAACTCAAAAACACTCGAAAGTCTTTACACTAGCTTTTAGCGTAGTGCATTTTGTTAACAAACACATAGCTTTCAGCTCCCTCAACCTATTCCTTCAACATGAAGATTGCTCAAGAGCATCATCAGCTTCGACAAGTCTTGCGTGACAAACATCTTCCTCTCTCGACCGAGAGAAGCCGAGATCGACGATTCTCGTGCACCACCTACAAACTTGCACGTTCCTGCAGATGCAAAAGTGCCAAATATACCTTCAAGGTAGCCTCATCAATGGTTCCACACTCCGCGTCAGACCATAAGTGGGCTACGAATATGGAGGAGGTCTTCGTTGGACTCAACCTTGCATGCCGACGACAACATCGCCTTCTCAAGGAATGACTTCCAGCCCTGCGAAGAGTGCCTACGAAACTGGGTGTGCAGGCCATCGTGCGTGCGTCACTCACCCTACGACCAATTGCTGTGAACGCAATTCCTCCACGCGATGTGACTTCTGGAGAAACGAAGTCCAATTCCAAGCTCGTGTCCAAGCCGCATGGGACGGTGCAGCGGAACCCGCTCTAAGTGATGATGACATCAACCTTTGGAATCAACGCGGTTATCGAAGCAGGCTGTCCTTTTCACGGCTCTCAAACAGAAACGCTTCATGCGTCGCAAGATGCGTAAGCCTAGCGGTGAAACTCGGCCTACTCAACAACCTCAGTCGGATGACCCCGATGAGCTTCACGTTTGCCACCTTTCGGTGCCAATCAACAGTTGAACCAGGACGATTCATCGACATCATTGTCATGGATTCCCTCTCTGGATGGCAAGAGGACGAACACGACTTCGATCCTTTCACTGCCGAGATGACAGCGCTCATTGGATTCTGTGAGCATGGAATCCGCCGAAGACTTTGACAAAGGCAGTGATGCCAAGCAAGTTCCTTTGAAGAAGAACAACAAGCAAGAAGTACAGTCTACTCGCACAACGACCATTCTTCCAAGAACGAAGAAAAGTGGTGTGATTACCACGAGTCCAGCACTCACATACTGCTGATTGCATGACTCTGAAGAAACTCAAAGCCAAGTCCTCGTCTGACAACGATAGCAAGCCAGCGTACAACAAGAACAAGACTTGGAAACACAAGTCTGACGCGCCAAGTCCTACACCAAAGAACTTTCGGTCCTTATGAGAAAGTCCAACGCTGCGGTCAGGCGATCGCAAGAAGAAAGCGAATGCAACCATGTTGCCCAACGCAAGTCGGACGACTCTGACCACGAGGATGACTCCTCTGTCGGTCCCTCAACATGATGGACAAGAAAAATGGCGCAGTCGACAAGGCTCTTGCGACTTCGACTTCAATCATCAGATGGAAGATCTCCGTCTGAGGATTAGGCAGGATGATGATTAACGGAACCATGTTCCGATTTCTCATCCTAAGTGATGAAGATATCTCACTAACTAGTAAACAAGAATTGTTTGCAACCTGATGAAGTCTACGGCAAATTAAGATATTGCCTAGAAATGCTCAACTAGATTCTGATGATCTATCCAGCATTGTTAAACTCGTCCGTGGCCAACACCTCGTCAACGTCGCAAGACAAGAGACCTCAAAACTATCGTCTATGTTAGATTTAACAGACGAGAAAAGGGAACAAAGACCCGTTACATCTGTTGCTTACTGGATACAGAAGCATCCGGAACCTTATTTTCCAAATCATGCTAAGAATTAGAATGAAGGATTGGGGGCGTCCAAACATTGGACCTTCATGAAGGATTAACCCCAGCACGAAGTGTAAGGGATGCGTATGACTCCTGAGTTCCACGATGATGAATTATCGAATGGAACTTGCACGCACCGGCTTGGGGCGTATGACATGATCATAGGTCGAGACATTCTCTCCGATCCAAGATCAAATTCGATTACTAAATGGGACAACCTGACTTAAGACAGATTTGCCAGAGTCAAAACCAGTTGACAAGGAAGAGCAGGAACCGCTTCATGCCTTTTTGACCGTGCTCCGACCTCGAAGGTACTTTAGGAAGCAGTGGACGACTACGAGTAGAACTTCGTCCTGACGCTAAACCCTATCACGCTAGGGCTTACCCTACTCCATGTGTCCATACCAACACTCTTAAGACAGAGGTCGAACGTCTTCTGCGACGCAGGAGCACTCAAGAAGGTAAACCGTTCCGAGGTGGCGGCACCAACATTTATATTCCCAAAAAGAATGATCTCACGGTTCATCTCTGTCCGGAACTGAACAAAAGGATTGAGCAAAAACCTTGTCCGATCCAAGGATACAAGACATGCTACTGAATCTAGACGGATTCAGGAAATACCATACCAGAGTACCGATGGGCCTATGCAATAGTCCCGACATCTTCTAAAGGAAGATGGGAACACCATGCACGACTTGGAAAATGTCCGTCATATATTGATGATTACTCATCCTAACTAACGGCGATCTAGTAGATCACGTTGAATAGTTAGATGAATTTCCTAAAGGCTTCGAGAAACCGGACTTAAGATCAATGCTACCAAGTCCTTCTTCGAAAGAAGAGACTTGAGTATCTGAGCTACTGGATTACTCGAGAAGGAATCCACCCTAACAGAAATAGATGCGATTCAGACATCGTCCTCTCACAGGAAAAACTTGGTAGATTCATTGGACTAGTGAACTACTATCGAGACATGTGGATCAGACGATCACATGTAATACAACGTCGGGGATCCCAAGAAAAGGAATCCCTGTCCTTTCATTGCTTGACAATGATTGATCCCGTAACCGGATGGTTCGAGATGCCGAGATCTGCTCCAAGCAGCAGACGAAGTAGCCATCGTTCTAGAACAGACGTGGCTCACCCAGTATCCAGGGCCGCTGAGTTATCATGGATAGCGAACGTGAGTTCCGCGCAGAGTCGGAAGACTCTCCGGATGATATATGGACTTCGTCGCAAGTTCATTACCACACGTTTTCAATCGTGACGCGATTCCCACGTCCGTTTCGAAGTAAACTGGAAACACATCAAGAACGTCGCCAACGACTCATCTAGAAACACACTGATAAGGAAACGCGACTCGTGTCCCTCATCTACAATGTCAACGTACTGTGAGGTTTCAACAGATTAGCACACCGCAAGTACGGTCAGACTAAAGTACAAAGGTCCTTACAATAGACCGAGTCAATGAACAATGGCACTGTACGGCTCGACATGCTACCGCCAATGGCGGCACAGTCTACCAGACTTGGAACTAAGGTTTTATCACCCATACAAGGCCTGATCCCCTTGTAGGATTGCCAACGTGCGGACGCAACATGTCTACATCCAATCTCCGAAGGCCCCGCACTTTAATTCATATGTTCTCCTTGTCCGACTGATGTCATGCCTTCTGTGACCCTTGTCAGGGGGGAATGCAATACACGGCTCTGAGCCTTATTCGCGACTCGATCCTAGATAGGGTTTGAGTTCGACTCATGACGTAGTCCTTCGTGAATAGTCATTGAGACAGGGTTCTCATGACCGCTAGTCATACTAGGTTGTCGATGAACATCGCTCTAGATATTTAGCCGCGTGGAAAGCTTCCACGCTACTAGACAGTACTAGCTGAAGTTTCCACGTGTTCCGGAAATGGACCGTGGAGTACGTAGAGTTATTGCCATAACCTACGATATCACACTTCGAGGCCTCCCGCGGGAGACCAACTTCAATGAGCTTCACAACGATCTCTCCATGGATTGTTTTCGTAGCTTTCTATCTCTCTCATAACTTTCTCCTTTCATTCTCTCAAACTCAAAACACTCGAAAGATCTTTACACTAGCTTTTAGCGTAGTGCATCAGTGTCATCCAGCCATCCAAATACCCGCCAAGTCTCAAAGGGAACATTGACTTCCCAGTTGGTTTCATCTCCATTTGGTGTTCTCTCATTCACTATTCCATCTATTAGTTTGTTGTGTATGGCCAAACGGAATTGATGAATAAAGGGAAGCTACTGCCGCATGGAATCTCCACTTATCTTGTGGTAGAAAGTATTGTACAGATGGTGAACCATGGCCCGACAATAATTTGTGTATCTTCTGGGGTCCCCACCAAAGGTGTTGGTAGCCATTCGGGTAAAGGGAGTAGCAGTGCGTATGTAGTGAAGGAAAATTAGAAGTGCCTCTTCTCCTGAGAAAATGAGTCGGTCTTGTCTGAATTCAAAGGGGATTCTTAAATGCTGGTATAGCAGGGATAGTTGTTGGATTCTGAACCCAAATAAAACTCACTTTGGTTGTCATCTGAAATATCAGAGATTTTCCGTAGAGAAGGAGAGATGAATCTGTGGGGGGAATGATTATAATAGATCAAGTCTTCCATATTCAATTGGAGAATCATGGAATAACACTTGAACCATTCAAGTGTCAACTGTAGGAGAAAGACGCACTTGCGAACTTGGCTAATACTGGTGATAGGATGTTTTGGTGAAGTCGAAACAGTAAAGCCACGATGACAGACGCAACATAGGCAACCACATACTCCACACCCATTATTTCTTCCTCCAATTCCACCAAATCAAATCTATCGCTTTGAGTCAAAGTAGAGCCTCTGTATTGCCAGTTGGTGCTTCGTCTGCTTCGACGGAAGCCTTCCAGTACAACATCATCAGCATGGCTATGAGGATCCATTGTGTTGACGGCTTGTTGTCCATCAGTTAGCTAGCAACAAGTGGGACGACCAATGCTTGTTTGCTGTTGGTTGGAAAGATACAAGTTGGATTCATCATGAGAGTTCAGGTTATATCTATTCGATTCAATTGAATGGATTGTGATTGACTAAATCACTAGGGACTAATGAGAAGGTCTCAATCACTAGTGAAAAAGAAGTCGAAACTAAAGTCAAAACTCATAAATTTCGAGTTTCGACTTTTTTCTTTGGAGGCCAAAAAGTCGAAGTTTCATGTTTCAAGTTTCATGTTTCGATTTCGAGTTTCAAGTTACAAAAAACAAAAGTAGTCGAAACAAATGTCGAAACATGAAATCAAAACTCGAAAAAAGTGTCGAAACTTGACTATTTGGGACACTCTAATCAAGGACTACTACAAGTTCGGTATGCTCTCGTCACTGTCGTAACAGTTGACTGTTGTCTTCACCAGTGAATTCGGACACGACCCAGTTTTATCTCGGCTGGCGGTTCGTCACGTTCGCTGGTTAACACCCCAAGGGGCTTGTAGTTGACTACTCGTAGTACTTGGTAGTTTGATGAGTAGAGGTCATAGGGCATATGTAGAATTTAATGCTCAACTGACAAGTAACCCGGAGATTGTACTCAATTGCTACACCCATTTAGTTCACGGTGGAGGTATTTGAGTTGAGCTAATTTTAATTAAAGTGATCTTCGCACAAAAATCAACTATTGTACAGTGAATGTATAGTAAATAAATCCTCTGAACCACTCTTCTTTTTTTTAAGTGAAACCTGTAAAAACTGACTGAAGAGTGTTCTGGTAGATATTCAACGTGTATTTCAAACTTCACTGTAGAAAACCGAGGAAAGGAGGTGGATTACGCACAGTAGTAGACTAGTCATTTGCTGCGACTCTGCTTGCACCCCAAGGCAACCAAGCACGATCCTGGACCGTCCGACGGTTTTCGCTCAGGCTTTAAAAACTGCCACGACTGACTCAAATGCTGGTTCTGGTTAAGAGGATGTAAGAGGATGTGAAGATTTAAGAGGATGTTTAAGAGGATGTTGAGTATTTAAGAGGATGTTCTTAAGAGGATGTGTATTTAAAGGGATGTTCATTCGTGATAAGAGGATGTTCTATGGTGTTTCAATGAAGGTTTAAGAGGATATTTCGAAGCTTTAAGCGGATGTTGTTAAGAGGATGTTTATTTAAGAGGATGTTTAAGAGGATGTTGAAGATTTAAGAGGACGTTAAGAGGATGTTTAAGAGGATGTTGTCAGTCGTGGAAGTTTGAAATTTTTTAAATCCTTAGGGAAAACCATCGGACGATACGGTCGTTTGCGGCTACTACACTAGAAGAATTTCCACCAACATTATCACAATCACACTGCACAGCAATGTCGACTCCTTGTGATGGAGATTCCTCGGGCTTGATGTCCTCGTCTCGCTCTTGGAGTCCCCAATACTGCTGGCACAAAGGTTACGTCCGTGACGCTTCCCCTGCTCCTGCCACCTCCCTTGCCTCGTCGTCCTCCACCATTAGACCGGACGTCGATGACCGTCCTGAGTTTGTGGTACTATTGAACGAGTCAGAGCCACTCCCATTGACCGAGTTTAGTAAATTAGCCAAGGACAGCAACAGCGCAAAGTGCTTGGGGACTTATATCAAGGCAAGGGAAGGGAAACTGGTTGCCTCCAACAACAATGGCAACCCCGTATGCGTCGTGAGCGGATTGCGAGAAGGCGGTGAAGCGCAGGTGGCTCAGGATTTGTGGGAAAGTCTAGATCGCCGCTTAAGCTGGGTCGTGGTGGCGGAAGACTCTCTGTGGATTGTGGAATTCGCAGCGGGTATGGTGCACGATGGTGTGGCACAAAGCATCAACACACAACCGGAAAATCGAATCGATGAACTTGGTCTCCGCATTTTTGCCTTTGTGGGTGCTTCACTTGTCGAAATAGACCACGCAGACTTTGATCAAGACATGGCCCCAGATGGTCATGTCAGGTTGGCCCGCGGGCCAGGACAAATCATCGGGCATGCTCGGCTCTTTGTGGAGGTGGGAGACAGCCAATTATTGGGCAATGGCAGCGATCCCAAAACTTTGTTGGGGAGAACGGCCCAGTGGCTCACCTGCGGGATTGCCGAAAATATCTGTGTTCTCATTGTGAAGCTCTATGGCGACGTTGAAGAGGATCCGTCCTCCGATGGCATGACGATGGCCTTGATCAATCGAGAAGGCGTGCAATGGATTCGCTCGTGGGGGGACACGTCGAAAGATGACACTGTGAGCGTTTTCCGTCAATATGCGAGGACTTCTGGGTGGCGCAACACGGCGGCACAGCAACCCCAGCCGTCAAGACGGCGGATGGTTCTCATTGCCACATTTCGATGAGAAACCACTTTCCGGTTTTGAACCAGGAGAGCCTGCAATGTTTTGTGAGTTTGCTCCAACAGGAGGTGCAAGGTGGCGTGTTGGGTGGCGCTCCGCCGGCATTCAACAGAACACTGGCAGCTCTGACGCAGCAGGCAGGCCCCTTAGAGGAGGGTGACCCCACCGCAATTTTTCGAGACGATGCCACCATCGCCATTGTTGGCGACCGCATCTATGAGAACTACCAGGACTTGTTAGCTGAAAGACGTGCCGAGCAAAGGGTCAACGTCAGAAACCCAACCTGTAAATTTGATATGTGATGAAAGGGGATCTGTATCACGGTGCCTATTATGATAAGCTAAGCTTGTGTCTCATAGCAGATTGAGGTGTCGAGGTGATGTCAATGGAATAATCTGAGGTCATGTCGAAGGATTAGTCCGTGTTGCAAAAGGTCAGCTTCTGATTGTAGAGATGATGTTTTTAAACATTTATCTGCAAGCTACTTTAGTGTATTTTAAAAGTTCGCACACAGTTATAATTTATTAAAAATACAAATGAAGCTATTGACATCTAGTAGCTAGCTAGCTATAGAGTACATGTAGGTCACTAAATAGCTAGATACTTCCCTGCCCATACGGTATCTGTCTCTTAGAATGTTGCAAATGACAACCATGCCCATCTTTTGATGCTCAACTGACGCAATAAGTCCTTACGGTACACAAAGCGAATGATTGAATCATTCAATCAAGGACTAAACCATGTCATCACACATACATTTAAAAACATCATCGCATGATCTTGTTGCACGGTACCAGGTACTGGTACGGTAGGATGGATGCATGCAGCTGCTTTTGGAATCAAATAAATTCTCGTGGCAACCAAATCCAATCAGGTCCTTGCTTGATCCAGATTATTTCTGTCGAAGCAAACTATAGCAAGTGAATCCCGAGATACAAGAGTCCAAGCCTGGAGCCAACTATCTATTCGTTTCTGCAGTTATACATCTAAGTACTGCAAAGATTTGCCTCTTGCAGATTTCATCGCTAGAGTGTAAGCCGTGAGAACCCTTGCTTCCTTCCAGTATCTTCCCTTCCTCATCATTGAAACAATATGCCAGTAGGATCCCGTGTCCTCCAATGGCGCCGTATTTTTGTGGCTCTAATGATTCTGTCGGCGCCATCAGCCTCAGTAGCTTGGCAGCCTCTCCCATCCTCCGCAAAAACTGCCACCCCAACAAGAACGAGTACATCACTGCCCATGACAGCAATGCGTCGCAACCTGCAGCGGCGTTTGCAGCAAGACGCTACTATTTCTTCCTCGAATCAGACTCAACATCCACGAAGACAACAAAAGAGTATTCTAGATGACGGATACGGTCATGTCAATCCAGATTTGGCGGCTACCCTTTGGCAGTGGGAACAGCAACATCGAGAAAATGCCAAGCTACCCAAAGTTTCCTTTTCGACGCGTCAGGGATTACGGCTTGTGGATGATATAGTGACAGAAATTACCACTTCGCCACGAGGGAAACGACTATTTCACGACGATAATGATATTCGAACCGATCTAGTCCAGGAGGGAATCATGGCATTGATGGATGCGCTCAATGAATATCGCAGACAGCAACAATCCAACTTTGAAAATTTCGATGAGGACGAGGAAGAACAAGGAGAAGAATCCAGCGGCATCCACAATATGCACACGTCTGCGGATACAGCAGATCCCAATGTCCAATTTGAAGCCTTTGCTCGTCCTTACTTGCAAGATCGACTGTGGTCAAGCTTGGACAAGACGGCACGGCCGGTCCAATTGCCAGAAACCGAGTCCATCGTATGGCAGTACATTGAAAAAATTCGCCCCCAACTGCGTGCCGAATTGGGAGGTCGAGATCCGACCGCCAAAGAACTCGCGGATAGACTGAATCTGCCACCCAAAACTCTGGAATCACTCTTGGCGTCGCAACGCGGAGTCCTCAGCATGGAATCCACCGTAGAAATCAAGACACCTGAATCCCTCGAAGATCAGACTGCGCACTTTACCGATTACGAAGCTTGGGAAGCACGAGAAGGGCATTTGCTAAACAACAACAACAATGACAAAAACAAGGAAGAAGTCCTCGTGGAAGAATTCCAAGATGAAGAGGAAAGTTATCAATACGAGGGAGAGGATGAAATGTGGATCCATCAAACCCAAATAGCTGCGCCTTTGCGCGATATCATTCCAGATGGGGGACCATCGCCAGATGACGTTGCCTTGAGCGACATGATTCGACACGACGTGGGAAAGTTCCTGAGCAAGACACTGAGCCCGGAAGAAGTCAAGGTCGTTCGTATGGTATTTGGACTAGATGCCGCGGGCAAGGCGGAAAGCCCTCTCACGTAAGTTGTGTGTCACGATCATCACGAGGCCATGATGCATGTTGCTCATATTCGCTTTGTCGCAATCTCTCAGTATATGGGAGGAGATTGGATATCCCATGAACATGCAACCATTAGAAGTGAAGCAGGTGCTCCGGGGAGCCGTGCGGAAGTTACGAATGGCATATCGAAGCAATTACGTGGAATCGTACTTGGACGAAGAGGCTGACCTGTTTGATGATGCTGAAAGTGTATAGAACATACTAAATCATGTAACTACAACTCATCCGTCTACCATCTCAAATCACAACAATCGATGTTGTTTCCAGCCGCTACTATTCGATATCGGTTTCCCTGCAACTATTGAAGAACTAAATGAACGTATCATTCTTTTATAACAACCAGTCAAGCTTGATCATGCTGTACATAGATACTATTGACACATGCCGCCCTCCATTGGCACCGCATTTGGGATATAACCTACAGTATTGATGCGGAATGAGAAAAAGAGTCACAAATATTGCAGATCTTAGAAAGAGCAAAAAGCAAGGATGAAAGCCCCAAAGAGAAAGTTGGAAATTACCATAGTTGGTTACTTGGAGCCCCAGAACGACAACACCAGCAGCTATAGCCAGAAATGCCAAGCCTTCAGCAAGACCCAATAGACCATACTTTCCGGCTGGTAAACCGCTTCCCTAGTAGCACCAAGAAGAAACATGAGAGAGCCAAGATAGATTGCTACTAAGTAACTTGCCATGTTGCCTGCTTACCGTAGTGACTTTTTGAAATATGGAAAATCCAGCCAATGCTACTACCGACAGATAACTGAGCCCTTCCATGGCCCCCACGGCACCAAACGGACCAGCGGGCAATCCACAACCAGTCTGGGAGAGGACAAATTCGGAATACATCATGACAACTGCCGCTACTGTGCCTCCCAGCCCCAGAATGAGTTGATCGGATTCGGCAATACTCGTGGAAGCTTCATCATCTGAGGAGGCCAACAGAGGTTTGACAAACGTACTTGGCTTCATGAGTTTCAGGGTCTGTCGTTGTCGTTGGTGGATCAGGGTGCTAGAACTACTTTGCGGAACCATCATCGGTTGCAACGAAAAGGCCGCAATCGGCGAGATGGACGTCCCCAGGAAAGTCAACACAAGCCATGCTGCTGTCATCCTTTCATTTGGTATCATCGTTGCCCTCGTTTGTTTTACGGTGGTCAAGAAAACTTTCCAAGCTGAAATTGACTTGTCCGTCGAATCTTTCGTTTGGTCCCGAGCAAAGCAGTATCCGCGACTGGATCTAAAAGGTAATACGGCTCGCCTTGCCACGACCGTTGCCGCGAGCCAAAAGATCTAGCTAGCGAGCAGCATTGCAGCATTGCCCTCTTTCTTGTCATTGATTTGTATTCTCTTCTGTTGAACGGTCTACTAACTCGATAAGAATCGAATCATCAATCTCGACACTCAAGCTCCGCAGTAGTTACTCATCATACAAACATCTCCCCCATGCCTGGCAAAGACGACGACCAGGATCTGGCGGACCTGCTGCCATCGAATGGAACAGATGTGGAAACCGTTCCTTTGACCAAGCCAAACCTTGAAAATGGCAGCACGATTCCCGCCAAGAAGGGGTTCCAGCCCTTTGGCGGTCTCTGTGGCATCGTTTCGGCTCATTTGTCCTACCTCTGTTTTGCCTATCCTTCTGCGTGTGGCTGCTTTGCCTGTATCATTTCCTTGATTCTGGTGGCCGTACTGGTCATCAACATGGTCAATCCAACCATGAAATTCGGGGAGATTCCACATGATTGGGCCACGGTCAATTCGGCCTACGAATTGGATGTGTCCAAAATCGATCACTGGTGCTTGGGAGGTGGTAACGAAGGATGTCGCTGTGAAGATCCTCTGCAGCCAGCATCGCGTGTGGAATTGCGCAGTTGGACCGAATCATTCAAAGAAAACAAACATCAAATTGGAAAATACATGGACGATCCACTCATCATGGCCGATTTGGATGTCGCCATTGTTGGAGAATCTGCTGTCGAAGAAATGGATGGACGATGGATGGGAAAGCGCCCGGATGACGAGTTGCGCGCCATTGGAACCATCTTCAAAAAGCGATTTGCCAAGGAAAAGGGAGCCAAAGTCGAAGGTAAGACACGCATCAGCAAAATCATTCTATATTGGGTAATCGATCGATTGACTCACATACATTGTAACACTTTTTCTTGAATAATATGTACTCTTTTAGGTATTGCTTTGGGCGTGGCTGGTGATTCGGCAAACAATGTTCTTTGGCGATTGATGCACGGAGAAATGCCTCCTGGCTTTGAACCAAAAATCTGGTGGGTACATGTTGGCATGAATGATCTTACTCGGCAACAGTGTTCAGAAGAGGTGGTGGTCCTCGGAGTTTTGAGAGTTGTGGAAGAAATACTCAACAAGCGGCCCAATGCAAAAGTTGTTATCAATTCCCTCCTGCCCATGGCCGATCTTCGCGGTGGAACCATTGTCACGGAAAAGGATTACAGAGATGCCTTTAACGACTATAAAGGCAAGCGCGAATCGCCTACGCGCACTGCCCACTATGTCAAAAAGAACATTGACGGCAGAGAACAGATCCTTCCTGCTGCTTCTGTGCAGAAAGACGAAGACAAGAACAAAAAAAGAAAGAAGAAAAAGAACAAGGAGGATCGCCATCATCACAATCGCCAATTGCTAGAATACGCATTGGAAGACTACGATGCCGTCACTAACGATAACAGTGAATACATTGAGATGCTGCAACGGGAATTGGAACAAGATTGGTCCAGTATGGTCGAAGAAGATGCAGAGGACGGCATGTTGTTCACGGAGGAGGAGGGAAGAACCTCCAGGGAGCTTGATGACAATCACATGCACCGTAGGTTGGACGACAAAAAACGTCAGATGGATGAGATTAGAAAGAGAATCAAACGAGAGAAACGGGACAGGTACAATCCAACCATTGACCAAATGAAAAGCAAGCAAAAGAAGTACAATTTCTTCCGAAATCGACGAATGCCACTCTGGACTTCCATCCACGCCATCAACAGACAGCTGTTCAAGTTTTGCGAGAAGCATGAAAGGGTTGTTTTCTTCGATGCAACTAACATCTTTGCCGAACGCCAGTCCGATGGACGTGGAAAATACTACACTCTGCTCAGCGACAACATTAGTGCCCGTGGACATCCCACTGAAGTTGGCTATGCCAAGTGGGAGGATGCCATGGTCAAAAAAATCAGATATCTTCTGGATGAAATGAGAAAGGAAAGCCCAGAGCTTTTTATGGCAGCTCCCAAGCCACCAGCTGGAACAACCGGAGGCGGAGGTGGAGGTGGTTCTCGTACAGCAGAAGGAGAACGGTTGAAAAAGAAGCCGATGGTGGACGAAAACCGTGGAAACGAAATGGCTCCAGCGCAGCCTGAGGAACCCGAAAATGAAAATGGCGCTGCTGGTACGGAGGGAGACGAAACTGATGTAAGCACTACACAGTTCCAAGAGGGGGCTGGCATGCAGCAACAAAGTATGACTGTTGAAAGGATGCAACAACGACCTAAAACGCGACCGTCTGGTGGGTCTCCAATGCTGGATGGCCAAAGCTATGAAACCGGTAGCGCTGGTACCGGCGGCACTGGTCAAGCCAGTGGGGTGCCATCGTCACTCAAAAAGAAGAAAAAGAAGAAACTAGGCTCCGGCACCAGCACTCAAATGGGCGGATTGCCAAGTGATTCTCGAATGAGCGGCGGCCCCATGCAGCCCGGCTTCGGGACGCAACCAGGAAGTTCTCAAATGAGCGGCGGCCCCATGCAGCCCGGCTTCGGGACGCAACCAGGAAGTTCTCGAACGAGTGGCGGCCCCATGCAACCTGGCTACGGTACTCAACCAGGCAGCTCTCGAATGAGCGGTGGCCCCATGCAACCCGGCTACGGTACGCAACCAGGCAGCTCTCGAACGAGTGGCGGCCCCATGCGCCCAGGCAGTGCTCAATTTGGTGGCAGCCCGATGAGTGGCGGCCAGATGCAACCTGACAGTTCTCAAATGACTGGTTTTCCCAACGAAGGAACAGCGAGTGGGCTCTCAACGAAAAAGAAGAAAAAGAAATTTGGCACCGGTACCTCCTCGCTGAGTGGGAAGCCGATGCAGGCGGGCAACCCTAATGACGAAACAACAATGCAAGGAAACTCATATGGAACTGCCTCACGGCCTCAGCAACCTTTCGCGCAAGGAGCCGGCAACACGCAGCTCGGAGTGGGTGCTGCGGATGAAGATGCAGCAGATGAAGAGACCGTTGGAGGTGACGCCGAAGCCGGACAGGTACCGGATGCAGAAGATGACGGTGACGATGACGGAACGGCTGCTGAGGAACGAACCGGTGGAAACACCGAAGAGGGAGTCGCCGGAGAGACTGCTGAGGAGGAAGAAGGCGACGAAGGTGAAGAGCCCGCGGAAGAGGAAGGAGGCGATGAAGGTGAGCCCGCGGAAGAGGAAGGAGGCGATGAAACTGGAGAAACTGCCGTGGAGGAGACAGGCGGCGAGGAAGGAGAGGATGGCGATGAGGACGGGGTGACAGATGCAGGAGGTGAAAGTGAGGCAGGAGCTGTTGAAATCCCCGCCGAAGAGGCTGAAGGAGGCACTGAAGAAGAAGGCGATGATGACACTGCGGATGCAGAATAGCCAGTTATTCGCTTTCTACGGTAGACTTTAGAACCCGATTTCAAACCCCTCTCTCTGATCTTCCGCTTGTACGTTGTTTTGTTGCTAAACCTGGTTATGTGGTCTCGCTAGCATTAACTGGCTACTGGTACCAGTTCTCGTGCAAAACAGTTCAGACCGAGGATTCATGACAACTGTATCTGGAGCTTTTTGTACCGGTACCGTAGGTATGGTACATCGTACCGGTACAGTGTACCGCACTCCGTTCATTCTGCAAAGCAGCTTTGCTGTCATCGTTTTGAAATTGAAAGCTCTCACCACTTTTCTCCACTGCGCTCTTCTTTTCTTCATGAAAGAGAAGATGAGGGTGGTG